CGCGTCCGCCGCTTGCTCCGGTGCCGGCCGAGTGACTGCCTGGCCTCCTGCCTGCCCCTACGGCGGCGTGACCTGCAAGACAGCTCCCGGTGGGTGTCTGCCTCCGGTCAGGTAGCAGCCTGTTCATCGCACCTCCGGGCTCACTTCAGCCTTCCAGCAAGGCGTTCCTCTGCCCCACCAAGGGCTCTGCTCTAAACAGTAACCGATACCGCCGCAGGACCAACTGACTCAACGACTGGGAATCCTCTGTGCTGGTACCAAGAGGGATGAAAAGATGAGCCTGGGATTTCTCTGCTTCTCTCCTTTTCCTGGGGCTGTGATAACAGAGTGACACAGGGCAAGCTGGCAAAGGAAAATACTGCAGAGTCTGCACCGAGGACTGCAGCTCTGAGGCGCAAAGGGATTTAGGTTCCCAACTCCTTCAGCAAAGCCCAGGTGCAGCTGGCTTTAACCAGTGGAAAGGAGAAAGTCTCTCCCATCTTCAAAAGGCATCTCCCCCTCCATACTGCTCCCGGAGAGCCAGCGTGACTACTGGGAGCTCCTGGATATTCTCTTCTCTCCGTGTCACCATGGGAGAGGACTTCCCAGCTTCCACCAGTGACAACCGTTCGCTCTGTCCTCGCCCTACCTATTAATCACCCGCCCTGTACTGGTGTGGAGGAAGGGATCCTGCCGTGTTTGCGCCACCACCCCAGACTGTTTACAACAGGGCACAGGATGGGTGGACTTCCATGTTTACCCAGGTTTATCTGCACACGCTTAAGCCCTTATGCCCTTTGGGTTTCTCCCAAACAACAGGCAAGACAGGCTGGGCTAGAAGGGTCACCACAAGGACATCTTGTGTTTTCATGCTACTTGTATATATACAGGAAGTGTCTACCCAAGTTAAAAATTAGGTGGGAAACAGGCATGTAAACGTGGAAGGTTTCCATTTTGCTGCCTCTGGCCCAGCCGAGGAGGGGCATGGGCTGCAGTCGGTGGCACCTGGCATCAGGTACCACGGCCATGGGATTCAGACCCAGATTTCTCCTGCTGCGGCTCTGGGCACCTCAGGAGACCGCATCTGCCCCATGTCTAGTGGGTTCTGGGCCCCTGGGCCCTGCCAAAAGGCCAGGGAGAGCCCAGCTTTGCCCTCTGTTCACCAAGGTGAGCTGGTGGTTTAGTATTTAACCATACTAAACAGAACGGGTTCGCATGGGGTCACTTCAATGGCAGCATTGGGCTTGGATTTATGTGGTTGCAAGAGAAATTAACCCCTGATCTGATGTGTTTCCTCCTTCACAGCTTTCCAGGGCTTGGACTGGGATGGGCGCACGTACATGTGTTCATCAAACACCGCTGCCTGCATATCTCACTGATGGCTCCTCTTTTCTCCAGGGGAAAGGGGATGTGTTAACGAGCTCAATTAGCCCTTTAGCATCGATGCTTCCCCTGTGCCCCTCTGAGAGTTGGCAACGTCCAGTACGTTAAGAACAGCAAAATGTCAGGCTGAGATCTTTCCTCCTGCAACAACCTTTCGCGGATTCAAAGATCAGGGGATGGCAGGGGGATGGCGGGAGCGGCTTAGGTGGGCAGCTGTCCCTCAGACAGACCTACAGCACATCGACCCGCCGGGAAGGAAGAATTTTCTCCTCCTAAGTTTGCACTAGCAGCGGAATGACTTCTAGTAAGGATTATGAAAAATATGCCTGTGTACCAACCCCCTGCTGAGAGAGGGGTCTGGACAGGGGGACTGCAGCTTGGCTTTCAGCTGCAACCCTTGGGGTCCAGCAGCAGCCAAGGTATCAGGCAGAGGCAAGAGATCTCTTCCCGTGGGAATAATCTGACTGAAACTGAGCTGGGGTCAACCCTTGTGGATGGGAAACGACCTCCTCTGTCCTCTCACAGGGAAGAAAGGCAAAAAGCTCACAGGGAACGTGCCAGTGCCCTTCGTTTGAAGCAGGACAGCAAAGCGATGTGGGCAGCAGAGGAATGGCCCCACGGCCTCTTTGCCCTTGTAGCCCCTGTCCTCCACCCCCTGGGAACCGATAGTAAAGCAGGAAGGCTCTCTACCCCGTATTTACACTGGCGAGATTTAACTCCGTACTGGAAACGGCACTGCTCATCTGCATCGTAGGCCTGTCCTGGAGCCACTGTTGGGTAGATAAAGTCTTGCTTGGGAGGAGCGTTGTTCAGGCATAATCCCATCCCGGAGCTGGAAACAAGAGAGGAGAATCATTGCTCAGAAAGGCTTGTAGGAGAGCACGGAGGTGGAGGACCAGCAGCAGGCGCTCCCGGCTCCACACGTGAGCTCTCACGTGCTTGGCTGCTTGGGGGGATAATCCTACCAGCCTCCTCTGGGCAAAACTGGTGCTGAGAAAGTGCTCCCAAGTCTCTCTAGCTATGCGCCTGGGGCTGGGAAGCATGTGCTTGCTCCTAGGTAACTCTAGAAGTTTTAACCCAAGGGCTTTGGAGGCTATTGCCAGCCCCTGGTTGTCCTGATGTGTCCCAGGTCCAGCAGGGACGTGCCCAGGACCCCCGGGGCGGTGGGTAGGCAGAGGGGCTGCCCTCCCACCCCACGGCTTCAGAGCCCCAGCTGGGAGCAACCAGAGGCGCCGAGCGCAGAGAGCCCCTGCTCTCCAAGCCTGTCCTTCTGCATGCCAGAGCTTGGTAGGAGTGTCCAAATTTTGCAAGAAACACGTCTTTCCCTCCCCCTTCCTTGCTGCTCTCAGAGCTCTCCCTAAATCAAGGCCCCTGTCACCATTCCCCCAGCCCTGTGTCCCAGGGTCTCGCATGCACCACGGCCCCATTTTGGCGCAGGCTCCCAGGGCTGCACTCAGGCGGGGGTGGCCGGCACAAGCCGTGGAGAGGACTGACATGAACTTGCCTTCCTCCACCAGCCCCAAGGAGACCTCAGGGTTACCTGAGGACACGGCAGCCTCTGCCACGGCGCTTTCCCGGCGCTGTCCGTGCAACATGCCTTGCCGTGGTGCACGTCCAAGGGGCAAGAGGAGGGGGACAGGTTTTGCCGTAGCCAAACGTGAGCTGCCAGACGTGGGATTTGGTGACGAGCTGCACAGTTTGGCCAGGCTTTGCGGGGCAGGCGGCAGCCCCGCGGGGAGGTTTGCCTTTGCTGCCCCTCTTGCAGCGTTACAGCAGCAGCGTCTCTGGTAGAGGGCTGGCATTCATCCGGGGACCTCCCGTCACAGTGACCCCGCACACTCGCTTCTTCCAGTTGTGACTCAAGTCCTACCCAGTCCTTCTGTTAGGCACTGCCTGCATTGTAGCAAAAACCTCACCAAAATTAATCCCAACGGCTCATTTTATGATAGAAACCCTGGGGACTGCCCGAACCCTGGATGGGAAGCTCTTCCAGGGTGCAAAGGCATGACTTAAGCAAGGTGACAACATCAAAACTCTGGGGCTTAGGAGCCTAAATCCCTTCTCCTGAATCCTAAAGGTGCTTTGGAAAAAAAAAACAAACCAAAAACCTTTCTCCGACATTTCCTGTTCACACCTAAACACTCTCCTCCTCAGTGTCTGGAGAAGCTGCCTCCATCATGCAGACCCAGTCCTGTCTCCAAATCTTCCTTCCCCCCCGCACCAACCCTTCTCCACAATTCCTGGCTGAACTTCAGAAACAGCCAAATGCCTCCAGAAGCCATCAATTTATTGGTGAAGTTTCTGGAAGTGGGGAACCTAAATAAAGGCCTCACAGCTGCAAGGTAAATGGGGTTAGTACCTTCGGCAGGCAAGCAAACCATGGGAACGTCTAAAGGAAGGAAGGAAGGAAAGCACATGCTCCTGGGGATAGGGTGAGATGCTGGGAGACAAGACAGAAGGTGCATGGGCTGTGTGCTTTGGGGGCTTTGCTTTGGCTTTACCCACTCCTCACGAGCAACACTGTGAGAGGTTGGAGGTGTGCATGGGTTGCAAGGTAGAAGGAAGGGTAAGGCGAGATGGATTCCTTACTCCAGGAAGCTGGTGATGTAATCCCGACTGCACGTGGACCATACAAACGGGTTGGTCTTCATGGTGATGTGAGCAGCCATGAGCTTGGCTGTTTCTTGCCCACGGGAGCCACAGCTGTTGCCGACCCCATCGTGATTCATGCCAAACCTAGAAAGCATCACCAAGGCGATAGAGGGATGATCAGCTGCTGTGGTTTTGACACATCTGGATCATCCATAGGAAGGATTTTTCAGCTCCTGTTGGCAGGAGCAAACCAAAAACCCTGTGACAGCCACTCCCAGGGACTCTTCTGGTGCAGTACTCACGTGTGGCCGATCTCGTGGGCAATGGTGAAGGCTGTGGCCAGGCCAATGTCCTCGTTGATGCTGCAGCTTCGTTCTCGTTCGCACATCCCACCGACAGGGGCCAGGCCTAGGGAAACCAGGTAGAGCTGTCACATAGGGTCAGCACAAAGCATCTGCAGGGGACATGGGTGGTATTTGGGGACTATCTGATGTGCTTCGCACTCGCTGACTCTGAGCATAGCCCGCTGTCAATAACAAGTTTCTTCCCACCAGTTGCACTGGGCTTTGGGATGGACCCATGGCTCTCACGGGCTGTAGGCATGTGGACACTCAGCACTGTCAACTAAATTAACGATGACAGGCTTCGAAATGCTAAGAATAAGTCAGACTTTCTGACTTTCATATCCAAATGCCAAACTGTGCGTAGGCGGGAGCCATCCCTGTTACAATATTGGCATTGCTGGTGGGGGAACCTGAGATCAGCTGCACCAGCACTTGGGCATCCGGACTTGGCCAGGGCAGCCCGGACAACTGAGTAAGCCAGGATCCAACCCAACCATCCGTGCTTGGTTCTGGCAGACATCCACCATGATCAGGAATCCAGACTGACTCCAGCGGGAGGGCTGGACCATGCAGGAATCCCCCCTGAATTGTGGCAGCAGATCTCCCCAACCCTCTGCCCATACACTGTCCCACCACCACAAGCTGTGCCCGCTGCAGGCGGCCAGGGAAGGAAGAACCTCTGCTAACGGAACGAATCGAGCCGGCATGGCACCTCCAGGCCTCAACCTCCCAGGCACCTCATCTGCAGCCGCATCAGGTCAGAGATCCACCGACTTCTCCTTTTTAACTGCCGTGATTCAGAGCAGTAATCCCTCCCTGACTGCTTAGTCTAGACCAGGGCAAGACAAATTAGGAGCTACAGCCAGAGCGAGCTGCAGGGTCTGTCTGCGTCTAGCAGTTTAAATAAAGGACTCCCTTTATAGTCATCACAAAAAAAGTCTTATTTCTCTCTGCTAAGCCAGGAATATGGACCAGCCCTAGATGCGAGCGGTTCTTAATCATCAGGCTGGACCTGACCCAGGGGTATAACGGAGAAGTGTTCCAGAGCCCATCTGTCCTCCGGGTTGCTGCTTTTAGTGTTTACAGAAGTAAGGAGGCTACACAGTCGAGCAGGCTGGAAACCACTGGCCTGTTCCTGGCTCTGCTGCCGGTGCTTGTGGTAGCATTGGGCAAGTGCTTCCCCTCAGCCGGCTCGCTAGGAAAGGGGAATGGCACAGCCCGCCCTCGCCACGCTCCCCAAGACCCATGCACTGGCGAGAAGCACTGCCGAAGGGGCAACAAAGTCCTACCTACCCAGGGTGCCGCACGGTTTGTTCTTGTAGATGCAAATGTCGTATCTGCAAAGAAGAGAAGGCAGCGTTAGGAACATTTAGAATTTTGGTGGCTCCAAAATAAGCGCATCTCCATTTTACCCATCTGTTCACATCCAAACCACTTCAAAACAGCCCATGGCTGATGCAACGCTTCTGGAATAGAAAGTACCGACTGCCACAGGTAAGGTGCTTCTGATCCGCGTTGTACAACCCCAGGCTGGGGCTCACTCTGGATTTTTAACAATAGCTCCTGTCCCTTAACTATACAGAATCACAGAATCACAGAATGACCAGGGTTGGCAGGGACCTCCGGAGATCCCCCAGTCCCACTCCCCTGCTCAAGCAGGCTCACCCAGAGCAGGGGGCACAGGACAGCGTCCAGGAGGGGTTGAAGATCTCCAGAGAAGGAGACTCCACAGCCCCCCTGGGCAGCCTGGGCCAGGGCTTGGGCACCCTCACAGTCAAGAAGTTCTTCCTCACGTTCAACTGGAACCGCTTCTCCTTCAGGTTGTGCCCATGGCCCCTTGTCCTGGCGCTGGGCACTGCTGAGAAGAGTCTGGCTCCGTCCTCGTGACCCCCACCCTTGAGATATTTGTAGGTGGTGATGAGATCCCCTCTCAGCCTTCTCTTCTCCAGGCTGAACAAGCCCAGCTCCCTCAGCCTTTCCTCCTAGGGGAGATGCTCCAGTCCCCTCATCATTCTTATTGCTCTCCTCTGAACTCTTTCTAGGAGTTCCTCATCTTTCTTGATCTGGGGAGCCCAGAACAGGGCACAGCGCTCCAGGTGGGGTCTCACCATTCACTCACTGCCACTATAGGGCAATGCTGAGCGGGGTCAGAGGTTTGGTTTTGATGAAATGTGATAAATCAGCAGGGACAAGGCTATTCCAGCCTTGAAGCTCTTTGGGTTTGGGTGGGTGCTCCAGCTCTGCTCACTAGCACTCAGTGCGCTCCCAGGAGCTGGTCAGTCTTCCCCTGGGAGGCACCGGGCTCCGGGCTTCGCCCCAGCAGCGCAGGGTGGAAGAGGACCGGGCCAGCCTCCTGTCTGTAAACTCAGGTCCCTTGCAGCAAATCCTATCAATCAACCATGGATTTTTAAAAAAAAATAAAATAAGGAAAACCTTTCCGTTTGAAAACATGTTCCATTTCAAAACCCACTGTGGTTTTGTTAGAATGCTGAAGTGATTTTTTTATATTTTATTTTTTTTTTCAGTTTAGTTCTTTACTGAGAATTTTCCAAACAAATTCAATATGGGTTGATTCAAGATGACTCTTCCCTCTGTTCCTGGCCTCGACTTCCAGCCATTGCATCAAGGAATCGACTGTTTGCACATCGTTAGCTGCGTACAAGGAAAAGCTAAATGAGGACAGCGAAGTAAAACCTCCTCCAAATTGAAATGCAGCACCCTTGCAATGGGACACAGCGGCAGCTCCAAAAGAGACCAGTTTGGGACAGAGAGCGAATATTATAATTTAATTGTGGAGATGAACCACACTCCCTCCCTGCCTCTGCTCAAATACCTTCTGGAGAAGGTGAGGCTCCACAGATATTTGGGTCTTTGCAAAACCTGGGCTGAAAGGGGCAAGGCTAACACTGAAGCCTGCGTGGGGCGGGCAGGCGGGGGGCCTGGCAGCAGCCGGGCTGCGATGCCCCCTGAGTGGGCTTGGCGTGTTGCTCCTTAGCCCCGAGGTGCATTTCAACCCGCGGGCAAGCTGGGCTCGGAGCACCGAGGGTGCTGACTGCGGCGCAGGTTTGGGGGACGCGCGCACGGCGAGCAGGACCATCCGACATCGCTCGCCCCGGCAGCCCTATGGGGACAAGAGTGGGAAGGAATCAAGCCGACAGCACACGATGGGTTAAGCATAACGCGTTCCTGGTGATGGCTCCTGTCCCTTTGGCCCCTGGTGCTCTCTGGAAGTGTCCAAAACTCTCACCCCCGGCAGGAAACCAAGCGAGTGAAAAACATTTGTTGCTTTGTTTTGAGCGAATACCGTTAAAGCCTTCAGAGGCTCTGGTTTGACACGTCCCTGCAAGAGAAAAAAGCCCGCAGCTCAGCAAGATGTTATCGGGAGACGGGGAATTTATTAGAGACGGGGCCGGATGCGCTGGTGCTGTCCAAGCCTGGCGCGGCCGGCCGGCGAGTCGCTTCGGGTTAGCTCAAACATCTGGTGGGAGGCCGAAGAACGCGGAGCTGGCGTTTACGTCCCACGCGTGTGGTGGGAGGGAAGGAAAAGCAGACGCTGCAGCCCCGGGAGGGTGAAAAGCTGGGGCCGAGGGGCCTTTTGCTCGCTCCTCCCCTGGTTGCTTGCAGATTCTCATGGCACAAACTCCCCGGGAGGGATGCGCCGGGCTGCACACAGCTCCCACCACCACCGGGAACTGGAGCAGGAGAGCGGTGCATGGCGCCAACAAAACCGGCTCCCGCTTGGAGGCTCCCCTCTCCAGTGCTTTCATTTTATTACTTTCTTCCACTCCGCAGGAGGGGGAAAGAAAAAAAAAAAAAAAAGGCACAAACAAATACTGGGTTTGCTTTTGGCTTCTCCCCAGGCTGCTGCCCCTCTGCCCAAGCAGGGTTTATGTGGGGACTGGAGAGCCAGTGTCCCGGGCACCGCCACGAGCTGCATCTCAGCACCCTTCATCCCCTCCGTCCTTCCAGCTCTCCCTTCGGCATCCTCTGTCCTCCCAGCCGGCCCTCCGTTCCTTCCACTGTCCCTGCTGTCCTCTCTGCATCTGCTTCCTTTCCGACCACCCATCCGTCCTTCTAGCCATCCCTCCCGTACCCTCTGCCGCTCCAGGCTCAAGCACCCATCTATTCTGACAGGGGTTATTTGTCCTGCATGTGAAGGTTCAGACCCCTTCACCCAGCTCTGGAGGTCTAACTCAGCGTCCAGGTCAAGCTGCTGACCTAGACTGCCATTACAGGAGCGCAGAGACGCAGGCAGGGCAGGGCTGCTCCTGTCCTAAGGGAGTTGGGATGAAGTCACTACTTGAAGGGCGTCCATCAGCTACCAAGGAGAGCGTTCAGCCCTACCCGTAGGCACCTACAATGAGGTAAGCCAGAGCCTGTACTGTCAGCATTCTGTCACTGTCATGACGCTCAGGTCTCACTTGTGTCCTCTTCTCCATCCTTCTCAGCAGGGGCAGATGGGGCTCTCCGTTTCAGTAGGATGCCCGATGCTCCACGACTCCAGGGTGGGTTCTCACACATGCCCGACACTGCGCCGTTGACTTTTGGTGCACAAATACCCATGGCTGCAAACTAAGTTCCTTGAGAGCACGAACAAGGACGGAGGGAAGACACTGGAGGACGATAACTATCTGAACTGCAATAATCTGCATCGTTGCAAGGGAACTGGCAAGTGGCCAGCCTGATGGACAGCCACTGCCAGGCAACTTGTGGTGGAGCACATGGGAAGGAAGCCTCGGATGAACCGCTTGGACAGAGATAGAGGACATCTGCCCAGAGGATGCCCCCCGTGAGGACAGCGCTGCCAGGGCTGGGCTCAGGTTTACCTGGTGATCAGCACCGCAGTGTCGTGGTTGGCTATGCCGTTCTCGGGGATGGCGTTCCCGTTGCCGTTCCTGTTCACAATGGATTTCTGCCACTTGCAGAAGCTGTCCAGGGATTTTCCGGCGTGGTGGTTAATCTCCAGTGTGGGCTGGAATGGAAGCAATATGACAGTGTGTTCCCAGGAAAGCTCTGATATGAAGGCACGGCCTATTCCCATACCAGCAGAGCACTGACACCAGTCCGGATTTCCCCACCTTTTCATGGGAAAGCAAGACTTTAGGGGGACTAAGGCTACTTAAACCTCCCTAAAGCCACCTTATTGTAGAAACAGGCCTCAGAGTCCCAGAGGTCTCCTCAGCCCATAGCCTCAACCCAGTCCCCATCGAGAGGATGTGGTGCACCCAGCAGACTGCACCGGGGGGACCTCCCGGGGGTGACATCCAGGGGGAACACATGGACCCACAAAGGAAGTGCAGACGCATGATGGAAGTGGCTCAGCAAAGCCCCCCCTTACCTGATCCTCAGTGAGGAGAATCAGCCGGGTGACCAGGATATTGACAATATTGCCCAGACTCGAGTCCTGGAAAAGTTTGGCAACCTGACCTCCAAGAAACAAGAAAAGACGAGTCTTAAAAATGAGCTCGCTGCTTGGGTGACAGTGCAATTGGCGTGTGAGCTGGCACATGCTGGGCACCTGGTGGAGGGAACCGGGGCTGCTTCGTTAGTGTGGGCCGCAGGGTCTGAATGTGATCTTTTTCGAAAGCAGAACTGGGTATGGGACTCCCCGTTATCACTTGGATTGCAGAGCCTGCTAAATCATGACCTCAGCGTCTCCTTCTGGGGAGATTCGAGAGGTGAAGCGGACATCCCACAGCACCTGCTCCTTGCCTGGAGCTCAGGTGGGGAAGCCCCAGGGTCCTGGCATTACAAAGCCACGGGGATGAAGCTTTGCTGGCTGCCCATCGGCAGGGAACGACACAGTCTTTCTCAGAAATCTGCCGCCAAAGGATGGGTGTTTTACAGCAGATGAAACAGTTAGAACCAGCATTGTTTTAAAAATCTGGCATCTGCTTTAGAAATGCAAACAGAGCAAGCCATGAAAAGAGATCCTGCAGAGGACAGGACAAAGAACCATCACAGAGGGGCTTTCAGCGGTTTGATGGATAACTTCCAAGCCTATCTCACCTCGAAGGAGGATTCAGCATGGCCAATTCAGGCTGTTAATGCATCTCGCCTGGTATCCTGCTGCCAGCAATGACCCAAATCTGATGCTGCAGAGGAAGCTCCTCTGCAGTAACCCAGAGACACGGGCAGCGCCGTATGGAGGAACCAGGGTATTTCTCCCTACCCCTCACGCTGATCAGCCCCCAAGCGTGAGAGCTCACTGTCCTTATGCTTTCCCATGTGTTTCGCAGCTTGGCTGGCCCTATTTGCAATGCTAATTTGAGATGAGAGATGCTGTTCAAAGAAAGGGCTTTGTTCTCCCAGGCTAGATCTGGCCCGTAGCATGGTCAGAGGGGCCAGAGTTTACCTCTCCTGCAGTGCCTCCCCTATACAACAGAGAGTCCCTGCAGGCTCCAGAGTGTCACTGCTCATGAGCGGCGGCAGCAGTGTTATCGGGATTTTTGACCCAAACCTCTTGCACTGGGAATGGGGAGAAGCTACTGCCATTCTAGAACAGATCTGATTTCCCCACTGTGTTCCCCTCCCGCTTGTCTTCTCGCAGGAAAAGTACGCGGCACCCTCTGCCAAACCCAAACATTCGGGGTGACAAACAGGATTTATTCCTGCTTGCTCCCTGCTGCTGGGTACGTGAGCCCCCAGGGTCCCCCGAGGTCCATGATGTGGTTATAACACTTACAATATTCATGATGGCCAGGATGTACTGCTCTATGTCCCGTCGCCCGTGGTAGCCCACCATCATTTTGTCAGCCACCACCAGGGTCTCCACATAGCGCTCTGTGCTGACGGATCTCTTCAGGGGCAGCTGGCCCCGCTGGCTGTGGTTGCCCGACGGCTTTAGAGGGGAGGGCTTCAGCGTCCGCAGCCACCAGTGTCTCCCTTTCCAGGGCTTCTCATCTGAGGCGGGAAAGAGGTTTTTCTGTTGCCCTCCAGCAGCAGTTCAGCAGCGCTCAGAGGTGAGGGGTGCACAGTATAAGCTCGGTTTCAGGGAAGGAAAGGCTACTGCAAGGCTCTTCAAGCACCACGTGTGGACCCAGCAAATGCCCCCACTGTCACCGGACAGATCTGCTGAGCTCTCCCTGCTGCAGGCCAGGGCTGTCCCCATGCTCCTGCCAGCCCCGCTGGCATCCCGCCTGCTCTCCTGCCCTCCTGCTGCCCTCCAGGCACTGCAGGCAGGGGCATGCACCCGTCCTGCTGCAGCGGCCCCACCGCTTCGCTGCCTCCGTCACAGGGAAGAGCAGTGCGGATTTAGAAACAACACAAGACATAATCTGAAAATAAAGCCATTGCAGATCATTTCCTCTTTCCTTTTCCTGCCAGGACCTGAATTTAGGACTTGGCTTTTCCTCCACAGAAATGGCTGCAGCCTCCAAAGCAGCAGCAGCAGGAGGTTTGTAGGACTTTGCTCCAGGCTTCAAGTGCTACTGACCCGACCCTAGAGATGTCCCCAGCAGGACCATCAGCTCCAAACACAGCCTGGACACCACCACAGGGCAGGACAGCTGACTGGGAGATCACAATCACCCTCCTGCCCCATCAGGAAAGCTGGCTGAATCCCCCTCCTCTGCTCTGATGCTGGATCATCAAACATCCAGCAAGACTGGGAAGATGGGAGAACACAGGCGGCCCCACAGCCTGCCCAGCTCCAGCCCCTCCAGCTGATCAGAGGGAGCTCGTGGGGATGCTCGGGCACTCAGGACAGGCCCAGCTTGCAGGGCAAGGGGACGGGGTGACTTTGCTGGAGCCAGTTGCACTGCGGTTGTTCTGAACTGTATTTGGCCTGTGGTTCCCACTGCATGGTCTTTGCTTTCCAAGAAGCAATTAGGAACAGGCTAACTTTCGTCTGGAAGCTGGGGAATGTGGCAAAGAGTCAGCAGAAGGGCAGTCTGCTGGCGCTTTGTCCAACATGACTTTGGGAGCTGGGACAGGAGGAGCTGGGACGGGGAAGCACAGGTTGTCTCCAGAGATGCTGGCAGGTCTGGGGACACCCAGACCTCTTCAAAGTGGGCTGGCAGTGCCCCAGTGTCTCCAGAGGCTCCATCCCTTCCAGCAGTGACTCCTCATCTCGTCAAGTGCCACTACTGGGGCACTGGATGAGCAGCCTGAAGTGACACATGAACCTGCCAGGAGCAACTGGGAACAACTCTGCTTCTGCATCCAAAAATTCCAGTCCATAAAATGGGAGCTGGCCCCTCTGCAGGGATGGCATCTCCTCTCATCCTTACGGAGTCAGGGGAAGCCTCCGTAAACTGAGGGAGCAGCATCCTGTGTGCATGCACCATTTTGGTGGATGGAGAAACCTTGCACGTTCACAAGGGCCAGGGATTTCAGCCAGGCTCTGGGACAAAGACTATCAAGGACAAGAAGGGCACAGGCACGTGGGGAGAAGCCAGGGCAGACACATGAGAGTCCTTTAGGAAGTCAAAGGCCTGTAAGCATAGAAATGGGGTAGATGTGCAATTGCCATTCTCCATAAATGCCTCCCAGAGCCAATGTGACCAATGGGATCCCACGTCCCACCCTACATGGCATCTTTCCACCTGGTCTCTAACAGCAGCAGATGTATCTCAGCATGGGCATAAACTTCAGCGACTAAACCCAAAGACAAGTCTTTGCTGAACATAAGTAAGCTATGATTTCTCAATACCCTGTAAATTGGCCAAATCTGGGAGGATTTTTCTTAAGAACAATAAGAGGCAGTTTTTTCTCTTCTATTCCACGCTCTATTTACAAATTTAAAAGCCCTGCTGTGAAGAAGGGAGTACAAGAGCTTTCCAAAGACCAGGCCACCAGAAATCCTTAACATGGGTAAAAGTAAATGCAGAAAACTTTCTTGAATGCAGGAGATAAACTTGATTCTTTGCGATACAGAGCAGTGTGGACCTTCAAAGCCTGGTCTACTGGGGCGTTCCTAGCCTGCACTGTGATGGATTGAGGACGTGTTGGTGGGCACAGATACCTAGCACACCGCAGGCTGCGTCCATGTGTGGGTACTGGAGAGATGATCGCTTGTACACGACGTGGGGGCTGCCCTTGCCCTCGCTCCCTGCGCTGACGTTGGCTCCTGGGCTCAGTGGTTCAATGAAATATTCCTCCTCGTCTGCGACGATCACCCCGTGCTGCAGAAGGAAAGAGAAGGAAGGCGATAAAAGAGGTAGAGAGAAAACTTGGTGGCTTCTGGTAATGAGCCTTCTGATCATCAACCACTGAATTTCTGTGGACTGACAAATACTTTGGAGAATGTGAAGGAATCCTTCATTTATGCACAAACACTGAAATGTATGAACCTACAGACCAGAGAAAACCGAGCCAGATGGTCGTGGATGCCTTGGGACATCTGTGTTCACTAAAGTCCTCTGGAAATCAGTCTTTCCTTGCAAAATTATGAATAAGTTGTTTCCTATTCCACCCACTCAGTCTAACCGAGAGCTCTTGGTGGGATCCTAAATACCGTACCTTCAAACAGCAGCACAACCCAGCAGTGAGATTCACCTCCAATACATTTCCACCTCACCGACAAACCTTCAAGAGCAGTTCAGGACCATTGCCACCAGCTGGGAAACTGGGGCACAGAGCTGCAGGGAAGCGTGGGTGCTCAGAGGCTTTTGGGAAACACACTGAATCTTTAAAATCTGAAGTCCAATTAGCAGCGAGGCAACCAGCCTCGACCTTTCTCTGCAGCCTGAAACCTGCCTTGTGCCCCGTAGGCATCACTGCCCCTTTTACACCTTGGACTGGCCACCACCTCAGCCAGATGACCTTGCTTCTGCTCCCATATGTGTCTTTTGTTGTTCTCCCTGATTTTATTCTTTGACTGAATGAACTCAGCTGTGAGCCCAGACTTGTGAGACAGTGACAACGGGGCAGGAGCAGACCCCAGCAGGGTGAGCAGCCAAACCCACCGGGTGCTTGCAAGGTTGCTCCTCTCTGGCTGGTCCTATCCTCACAGCAAGCTTTCCCTCTACTGAAAAAGTCTGAGCAACCTAAAGAGTTTCTGGCAGCCCAACGCGATTGTATTGGGTCGAGCTGCACCATGCTGTGCTTTCTGTTGGTGTTTGGAAAGGTGTGGATAACGCGCCAAAGTTTTGGCTACTGCTGAGCATCAAGGCTGTGTCTCCAACATTCCCCCCACACGCCACCAGAGGGCTGAGAGGGAGGGGCAAGACCTTGGGAGGGGTTGTAGCCAAGACCCCTGACCCAAACCGACCAAAAGGATACTCCATACCATATGGCATCGGCTCAGATATAAAAGCTCAGGGAAAAGGAGAAAGAAGCAGGAGGGGGCATTTGTCTTTTATGATGTTTTGTCTTCCGGAGCAACAGCTCTGCACGCTGAAGGCCCGCTTCCTGGGAAGTGGCTGGGCATCGCCTGCTAATGGGAAGTAGAGAATAAAATCTTGTTTTCCTTTTGCTACTGTGTGGGGCTTTTGCTTTTTATAAACTGCCTTTGTCTTGACCCACGGGTTTTCTTTCTTTTCCATTTCATTCTCTCCCTGCCTGGCCGGGGAGCGATAGAGCGGCTTGGTGGGTACATGGCGTCCAGCCAGGGTCAAAGCATCACAATGACACAAGTAGAAGCTCCATTGCTGTAACAACTCCTGGCACTGAATCCCATCAAACTCCAAGAAACGTGGGCGGGCTATCAGCTGAACTTTACCAGCAAGCAACTGAGGCACTGAAACGTGCCTGACATTGCTCAAGCAGGACTAGAAGTATCCTAAAAGTCTCAGACCTACGTTACCCAGCTGTCCTCCCACTCCCTGTGTGCAAGCATAGCTCTGGGTGCAGGGACACCCCCATTCTGCCATCAGCCCTGCACCAGCCTTTGGATGTCCCAGCACTTTACCAGCTCCCCTCTGTGCAAGGAGCACGGGAGCCCTGATCTGCCGGGATGGGGAGTGCGGCAGCAAGTCTCCGTAAAACATCTTGAGGTCCTTGCACGGAAAACACCACCTGCGTAATGGCATTATTCCTGGGCGTTCGTGGGGGAGAGCCCCTCTGGGGTGGACGCTGCCTCTGGAATAGGTCTCTCCCCCTCTCTCTCCCTGCCATGAAAGCTGAATTGGGGCAGTGTGTGCGCAGCGAAGTCCCCATCTCCAGAGTGCTGGGGGATTTCCTCCTGCACCAGGCTCTGTTGCTCTTGGCTCGGCTCCACCTTTTCAAACACAAGCGAGGTACTGTGAGGTTAGCCTGGCGAGGGCTCCAGCGGAAAGCCGAGTGTCGGCCTGCGAAGCCAGCTGGCTGCCGGCTTTGTGGGACGGGGAGAAGGAGGTCACCACCGGCTTGGGGCAGAGCAGCAGGAGGGGAGAGTGCGTCCTGCCCAAAAGCCATGGACCGCTAGAAAAGGGCCGTTCTTACTTAAACTCAGAGCCTCTGCAGTGTGCGAGAGGCAGGAGGCTCCACCGCCTGCCTGGCATCCTTCGGCAGTGAAGCTCAGCCATCACAGGAGTCTGCAAACTGCCCCATCGCTGACCCCAAAGCCTGAGCTCTGAGGTCCGGGTGCTGGACGTGACACAAGCCTGTTGAAAGGGGGTGGCGAGAAGCCCTTGGAGAGATCCCTGTGGCTTGTGGGGGAGCTAAGCTGGATATCCTGCCTATGATTCACCCAGGTCATCTGCAGAGCAGGGATGGTTTATGCTATTAGCTTATAACCACACTTCAGAAAAGCCCAGCCACATACTGCAATTCAGCTCTTCCACCTCCTCGTACGTACACGCGAGCAGCTCGACGTTGGCCGCGGTAGCGGGGCCATCTGCCTTGCTTCAAGCATCCTGCTGACTTCAGGGGGGCTTTTCGGGTGAAAGCACAATTTCAGCACAGACACACAGGGTTGAAACCTGGGCTTTAAACTGCCCTTTGCTGAGCTCTGCCACAAGAGGGAAGAGAGTGGCATTTCCCTCCTAAAGTTATTTTCTCCTCGCTGTCATTTTTTTTTGATGGTAGGACACAGGTCCTTGGGATCTCATGCAGCAGTGGGATGAAACGCAGCTTTGCTTAAGACAGGGATTTCAGCTCCCGGCCAGGCTGAGGTAAAGATGCCCAGGCTGCTCCCTGCAGGCTCCAGCTGCTTCATGCTTGGCCCTGCGGGCAGCTCAGGGCTCTGTTTCCATTTTGGAAAATGGACCGTTTTGCTCTTTGCTTCCAACAGCTAAAGCCCGGGTGATTTTAGCCCCGCTCAGCCTGAAGGACAGCACGGTGTGCCCTCTGCAAGAGAGGCGTGGGGTGAGCCACACTGCCCGCCTGCCTTCGGGTCGGGTCTTCCAACAGCTAAAGCCCGGGTGATTTTAGCCCTGCTCAGCCTGAAGGACAGCATGGTGTGCCCTCTGCAAGAGAGGCATGGGGTGAGCCACGCTGCCCGCCTGCCCTTGGGTCGGGGTGATGGTGCCTATGGCTGGGAACACGAGTCGATGGGAGCGTGCCCAGATATAGGCAGTCCAAAGCTGGGGTGCCGAAAGGTGCGAGTTAGTTCGTGGGTGTTTGAAAACAAAGTGGTTTACAGCCTTGCGGACACAGAAATTGCATAGGGATGTGGGAGTTTGAGGACAGGAGGATGGCTTGGAGCTTGTTACCTGTTTTCACAGCTTTGCATTGGATGCTTCCATGGACGCAGTTGTCCCTTTCCCTCCTCCTCGTGCACAGCTCACCCCATAACCAGCACCTGGTCCCTACCTGTGCCCATGCAACCACACAACACAACCCCCTTTGCACCATCAGCGAGTCAGGTCTGCGCAAACGTGGGTCACCGTGTGCAGTCCCCCCTTAGCATGGGTCAGCACAAACCTGAACCTCGAGACCTCAGCAACTGGAGACCCTCTTCTGTCCCTACGTGGCCCCTCCAAAGCGGATCAATGCCTGCCTGGAGGGGAGTGTGTTGCAGCTGAGGGATGGCATGAGCAGATCGCTGTTACTGCTCAACCAGAGCTCTGCAACTGGTCTTCTCTGGTGGCAAGTACAGCCCCCACTCTTCCAGCTAAAAAGATACCAGGCTCCTCTTGTCCAAATTCCTGACCCTACAGACCTCACTAGCCCAGGAAACCTCCTCCCCACTCCCTGCTGACGTCCGCAGCTCTTGAGGGCAGAAGGACAGAGTTCAGGAAAAGGAGAAGTTGTTGGATGACCCCCCTGTCCCTCTTTGTGCCTGGCTGGATTTTCCTCCAGACAGCCCCTGGTATCTCTCCAGAGCTAAACACAGCCTGTGGACTAAATTATCCCTGGACCAGTGCTGCTGGGCCATTGCTTGCCCTGGACTTGCTGCCTTCTGAAACGGGAAGGTAGGCTAATGCCAGACCCCTCCTGAGCCAGCAGCATCCAGCTCACCCTTCTGTGCTTTTGTGAACACCAGCAAATTGTCTAGGACTTCAGCAGAGTTCCCATCTCTAAACAAAGGGCTAACGAGGGAACCAAGAGTTTATGCGGCTCTGAGTTTTGGCTGTGAGATAGAAACATTAGACTCTATGATATAATGAGTCAGATTCTCATTTCTGTTAATAACCCACAGCACTGTTCTGGCAGTGTAATTTAGCAATAAATCAAACGTGAATTCATTCCCATTTGGAAGCTCTTCCACGCTGCCAGAATACTGCTAAGAGGTGGGGCCGTAGCATAAACATGAATCTGGCCTACAGCATCTTTTTCTACATGTTACCCCTCCAAGGGAGCCATCAACCTTGGGATTCGCTAACAGGGTACATTTGCTTCATCCCTCCATCTGGCAGGTCATGAAATGCACTTTGTGAGCCAGAAATATCAGAAAAAATCACAGAAAAATAAGGATGGAAGTCCTTAGCCTATTCCCAATGCTGGAAGAGCTAATGAATCATACCTGGAGTATTTCTGAGAGGCATTTGTCTGGCCTATTCTTAAAGATCTCCAACAACGTAGAGGCCACGTACTCTCCAAGCAAACAAGTCCAGAGCTCAGCTATCCTTACCACTAATGTCTACCTTTAAGCTTTCTTGCTGATATTTAAGACCACGATGTCTAGCTCTTAGGACATGCAAAATCAATCATCCCCACCCTCTCTGCAGCAGCCTTCCTGGTTTTGAGGAATGCCATCTTGTCCCCTCTCGATGTTCTCTTTTTCATATAGAAAAACCGATTATTTCAGTTTTTCCTCCAAAAGTCACATTTTTAGCTCCTGAAATCTGGACAGAAGTGACTGGGCATGCCAGGAATTGTAAGCATCCAAATGCACTTTCGACATTCCCAGCTGTGCTGTGCAATTCCTGCCCTCCTGCACTTCTTCCTCGCTAGCACACGTGAAACAGATCTTTTGCTGTTGCTGTTGGAATCAGAGAGGAGAGTTCTCCGAGAGGCAGAATAATGGTCTAGAGCCTGGATTATCCCATTCCAATTAAAATTAATGGAAAAACACCCACGGACTTTGGTAGAAAGTGGACTACAAGAGAAACACGGATCAGGAACCCCTACTGATGTAGCGAAGGGTTGTGCCTTCTTCACCCTCCGTTGACTTTTGATGCCAGCGTGCAATATTCTAGCTTGACCCCAACCCTGTACCTTTCCCACCACCATGGACCCACCTGCTGGGACCCAAACCGGGTTCCATTCATCAAAGAGGCTGCAATCAGCTCTCTGTTATGGGCAGCTCTGGTTGTTAGTAGTGCCCTTGGCTGGGCAAAATACAGAGACTCACCAGTCCATTGCAGTTGCTGATGGCGACCTTTGAGTTCAGGTACTGGTCCTGCAAGTGGCCCGCGTAGTGGCAGTCTTCATGGAAATCATGTTGCCAGTCCACGCCATCTCGCTTCCAGTATTCAACAGTGAAGTGCTCAGCCAGTAGGTTGGAGTGCAGTGTCAGGTTGAGGAGGAACTGGGTTCGGTGGGCAGAGACTTTGTAGAAAACCTGCTGCTCAGATGGCTCGTAGGGCAAGGAGCCCAGACTGCGCCGAGGACGTTGCTTCAGCTGGCTTCTCACGTCAAAGGTAAGGAAGTCCCCGTTTTGGTCCACTTGGATGGGGAACGCAATTTCATAGTGATCGAGGCTGGAGAGGAACTCCTCTGGGGAGGGAAAGCAAAGACAGGAGGAATGACATTCTGCAAAGAGAGTCAAAATCCCAGCGACTTCAGCACAGAGCTGGCTGCACCTGAGCACAACTGAGCCACAGCCAGCACAAGGTGGAGGGACAGGGTCCTGCTGCAGAGGGTCTGCTCTGCCCTGGCTGCAGGATCCTTGGAGTGTCCCCAAAGGCCTTCAGCCTACACAGCCTTGGGGTATCAATAGTCTTGGAGGCTACAGTGTCATCTTCAGTGTCCTTGGCCCTTTCAGGGAAGAAATTTTTCCCAATGTCCAACCTCACCCTGCCCTGGCACAACTTGAGGCCGTTGGCCCTCGTCCCATCGCCCCTTCCCTGGGAGCAGAGCCCGACCCCCCCGGCTCCCCCCTCCTCTCAGGCAGTTGTAGGGAGCGATGAGGGCTTCCCT